ATTACCTCATATATACCCCTTGTAGGTCTGTGGTGAGCTCATTACCTCATATATACCCCTTGTAGGTCTGTGGTGAGCTCATTACCTCATATATACCCCTTGTAGGTCTGTGGTGAGCTCATTACCTCATATATACCCCTTGTAGGTCTGTGGTGAGCTCATTACCTCATATATACCCCTTGTAGGTCTGTGGTGAGCTCATTACCTCATATATACCCCTTGTAGGTCTGTGGTGAGCTCATTACCTCATATATACCCCTTGTAGGTCTGTGGTGAGCTCATTACCTCATATATACCCCTTGTAGGTCTGTGGTGAGCTCATTACCTCATATATACCCCTTGTAGGTCTGTGGTGAGCTCATTACCTCATATATACCCCTTGTAGGTCTGTGGTGAGCTCATTACCTCATATATACCCCTTGTAGGTCTGTGGTGAGCTCATTACCTCATATATACCCCTTGTAGGTCTGTGGTGAGCTCATTACCTCATATATACCCCTTGTAGGTCTGTGGTGAGCTCATTACCTCATATATACCCCTTGTAGGTCTGTGGTGAGCTCATTACCTCATATATACCCCTTGTAGGTCTGTGGTGAGCTCATTACCTCATATATACCCCTTGTAGGTCTGTGGTGAGCTCATTACCTCATATATACCCCTTGTAGGTCTGTGGTGAGCTCATTACCTCATATATACCCCTTGTAGGTCTGTGGTGAGCTCATTACCTCATATATACCCCTTGTAGGTCTGTGGTGAGCTCATTACCTCATATATACCCCTTGTAGGTCTGTGGTGAGCTCATTACCTCATATATACCCCTTGTAGGTCTGTGGTGAGCTCATTACCTCATATATACCCCTTGTAGGTCTGTGGTGAGCTCATTACCTCATATATACCCCTTGTAGGTCTGTGGTGAGCTCATTACCTCATATATACCCCTTGTAGGTCTGTGGTGAGCTCATTACCTCATATATACCCCTTGTAGGTCTGTGGTGAGCTCATTACCTCATATATACCCCTTGTAGGTCTGTGGTGAGCTCATTACCTCATATATACCCCTTGTAGGTCTGTGGTGAGCTCATTACCTCATATATACCCCTTGTAGGTCTGTGGTGAGCTCATTACCTCATATATACCCCTTGTAGGTCTGTGGTGAGCTCATTACCTCATATATACCCCTTGTAGGTCTGTGGTGAGCTCATTACCTCATATATACCCCTTGTAGGTCTGTGGTGAGCTCATTACCTCATATATACCCCTTGTAGGTCTGTGGTGAGCTCATTACCTCATATATACCCCTTGTAGGTCTGTGGTGAGCTCATTACCTCATATATACCCCTTGTAGGTCTGTGGTGAGCTCATTACCTCATATATACCCCTTGTAGGTCTGTGGTGAGCTCATTACCTCATATATACCCCTTGTAGGTCTGTGGTGAGCTCATTACCTCATATATACCCCTTGTAGGTCTGTGGTGAGCTCCTTATCTCATATATATCCCTTGTAGGTCTGTGGTGAGCTCCTTATCTCATATATATCCCTTGTAGGTCTGTGGTGAGCTCCTTATCTCATATATATCCCTTGTAGGTCTGTGGTGAGCTCCTTATCTCATATATATCCCTTGTAGGTCTGTGGTGAGCTCCTTATCTCATATATATCCCTTGTAGGTCTGTGGTGAGCTCCTTATCTCATATATATCCCTTGTAGGTCTGTGGTGAGCTCCTTATCTCATATATATCCCTTGTAGGTCTGTGGTGAGCTCCTTATCTCATATATATCCCTTGTAGGTCTGTGGTGAGCTCCTTATCTCATATATATCCCTTGTAGGTCTGTGGTGAGCTCCTTATCTCATATATATCCCTTGTAGGTCTGTGGTGAGCTCCTTATCTCATATATATCCCTTGTAGGTCTGTGGTGAGCTCCTTATCTCATATATACCCCTTGTAGGTCTGTGGTGAGCTCCTTATCTCATATATATATCTTGTAGGTCTGTGGTGAGCTCATTATCTCTTATTTACCCTTTGTAGGTATGTGGTGAGCTCATTATCTCATGAAGTCATCATGGATGGTGATTCTTTCCAAAATCACATAGCATGCTTTTAATATGCAAGAAATCCTTCAGGTCAGCAATTTTGAATTGCAGAAATTGTGTGTTTGCAACAAAATTACCTCACAATTAGAAAATGGGAGTATATAGTCAGTGTGATTATTAGCCGTGATTTTCATCGAAAACAGGAAGAAAGGAGGTCTAACAAAATCTCTGGTGGTAGAAACTGATAAAAAAAACAGCAGCTATGCATGCACCCTGGAATTAATGTTGTGACAATAAAAAATAAAAAATGAAGTAATGTTTATCTTAAGTGTACAACAGTAAAACATTAGTAATAAATGGAGAATTGACAATGTTATGATTTCTTGAATACATAACAGGCCAGGGAGTAAGTTGGAGTCCTAATGACTCAATCATGTTGAGAAAGATAAGGAAGTATTTATTGACCATACAGTATAAATAGCAGTTGTGCTGCTGTGGTTGTTAGGGGAACAGCTGTTAGAGCCAGTTGATCAGATACTTTCCTCTAGCGTACTAGGCAAATTTATAGCTTTCTTTGATACTTCATTTCTCCCAAAATTTCCTTTTCGGATGGTGAGCACAATTTTAAAACAATATTTATCAAAAAGGACTAGAATGTCGGTGTTCCTCAGCATTTTTGGAAGAAGCACTGTTTTATACTTTTTTTTCAATCAAAGGAATAACAGCAGCATGTGATCTTTGTTAATACTACGAATATGTTGATTTTTTTTTTTTATTGGAGCATCGATTAAAAACTATATCAGCATAGAATTGTACATTCTATGCTGCTAAAACAGTCCTGGGAGAACACTGGATTAGTTATACAGAAATCTATGGATTCACAGGTCATCAAAACAGTACAGATCCATCTTGTATGTCAGATTGACAGGAATTTGTCTTATTATTGATCCTTATCTTTTATACTGTAACAGTTGCTGAACAGTGTAACAGTTGCTGAACAGTGTAGGGTTCATCACAGCAGTCTGTGGCATGTTAGATAATTCTACAGTGGGAACTGTAATGTCTTACATGACATATGATGTCACAATAGTTTCAGCATCACAGTAGTATTATTGATTTCTACCAATCAGAGAGGTCATTATCATGATATGAANCCCTTGTAGGTCTGTGGTGAGCTCCTTATCTCATATATATCCCTTGTAGGTCTGTGGTGAGCTCCTTATCTCATATATATCCCTTGTAGGTCTGTGGTGAGCTCCTTATCTCATATATATCCCTTGTAGGTCTGTGGTGAGCTCCTTATCTCATATATATCCCTTGTAGGTCTGTGGTGAGCTCCTTATCTCATATATATCCCTTGTAGGTCTGTGGTGAGCTCCTTATCTCATATATATCCCTTGTAGGTCTGTGGTGAGCTCCTTATCTCATATATATCCCTTGTAGGTCTGTGGTGAGCTCCTTATCTCATATATATCCCTTGTAGGTCTGTGGTGAGCTCCTTATCTCATATATATCCCTTGTAGGTCTGTGGTGAGCTCCTTATCTCATATATATCCCTTGTAGGTCTGTGGTGAGCTCCTTATCTCATATATATCCCTTGTAGGTCTGTGGTGAGCTCCTTATCTCATATATACCCCTTGTAGGTCTGTGGTGAGCTCCTTATCTCATATATATATCTTGTAGGTCTGTGGTGAGCTCATTATCTCTTATTTACCCTTTGTAGGTATGTGGTGAGCTCATTATCTCATGAAGTCATCATGGATGGTGATTCTTTCCAAAATCACATAGCATGCTTTTAATATGCAAGAAATCCTTCAGGTCAGCAATTTTGAATTGCAGAAATTGTGTGTTTGCAACAAAATTACCTCACAATTAGAAAATGGGAGTATATAGTCAGTGTGATTATTAGCCGTGATTTTCATCGAAAACAGGAAGAAAGGAGGTCTAACAAAATCTCTGGTGGTAGAAACTGATAAAAAAAACAGCAGCTATGCATGCACCCTGGAATTAATGTTGTGACAATAAAAAATAAAAAATGAAGTAATGTTTATCTTAAGTGTACAACAGTAAAACATTAGTAATAAATGGAGAATTGACAATGTTATGATTTCTTGAATACATAACAGGCCAGGGAGTAAGTTGGAGTCCTAATGACTCAATCATGTTGAGAAAGATAAGGAAGTATTTATTGACCATACAGTATAAATAGCAGTTGTGCTGCTGTGGTTGTTAGGGGAACAGCTGTTAGAGCCAGTTGATCAGATACTTTCCTCTAGCGTACTAGGCAAATTTATAGCTTTCTTTGATACTTCATTTCTCCCAAAATTTCCTTTTCGGATGGTGAGCACAATTTTAAAACAATATTTATCAAAAAGGACTAGAATGTCGGTGTTCCTCAGCATTTTTGGAAGAAGCACTGTTTTATACTTTTTTTTCAATCAAAGGAATAACAGCAGCATGTGATCTTTGTTAATACTACGAATATGTTGATTTTTTTTTTTTATTGGAGCATCGATTAAAAACTATATCAGCATAGAATTGTACATTCTATGCTGCTAAAACAGTCCTGGGAGAACACTGGATTAGTTATACAGAAATCTATGGATTCACAGGTCATCAAAACAGTACAGATCCATCTTGTATGTCAGATTGACAGGAATTTGTCTTATTATTGATCCTTATCTTTTATACTGTAACAGTTGCTGAACAGTGTAACAGTTGCTGAACAGTGTAGGGTTCATCACAGCAGTCTGTGGCATGTTAGATAATTCTACAGTGGGAACTGTAATGTCTTACATGACATATGATGTCACAATAGTTTCAGCATCACAGTAGTATTATTGATTTCTACCAATCAGAGAGGTCATTATCATGATATGAAAACTTGGGATCCAAATTAATTAGGGTAGACCTTGTTTATTCTAATTGATTTTGTTTTAATTTTGTTTCATTTATTGCTTTGTATTACAGACCAATTTGGCAGCTACAGCCAGCTCCTCATCAGAGTCTAGAAAATCAGCCAAAAGGGCTTTAATGCACAACAGAACCTGGTGCAACATTCGCCAGGAGAAACAAAACTTGAAGCAACGTCCAGGTAGCGCTACTGAACGGGTATCCACACCCACGGTAGACGATGATTCTGACGACTTGCCTGACCTGGACACTAACGAGGAGTGCATCTATGTTCAGGTGTACGAGGAGGAAATAAACGATGACAGCGACTGCATGATTGTGGAAGACTCGTATCAAGTTGTGTCTGGCTGTACAGGTATTACAAAAAACAAAGGCTCTGTACCAGAAAAAACAGTAAAAAATGAGTATAAAAAATTGGCAGTCACCTCTACAGACACTAAACATAAATCAGAGAAAACCAGTTATACTGTTCAGAGTGACAGTGATCGAGGAATTGATTTTGAAAAAACTATGGAATCAAAGACAGGCAAAGCATTGGATTCATCCAAAACCAGTTCTGGTGAAACAGATTCTCCAGAACCGAGTGATAAGGAAACTGATAGCAGTAAAAATGGTAGGAAGAAACTTCCTATTTTGTCATTGGAAGGACGCGCCAAGCTGGCAAACATTCTAAAGACAGTGAATCCCAGGAACCTTCAGAAGTCCAAGAGTGTGGAGGAGTCGAGCAAAGGGCAGAGTGCTACAGGACATTCATCGAAAAGCAAAGAAAAATGGCCCTTCACTATCGAAAGACATTTCTCAGGTAACTACCAGTTTGGCCATTGTTATGCACCAGTTGTGTCACGTCATCAACTGAACTTAATTTCTTTACAAAATTGAAAGCCATTACAAAGGTCAAATATGAGAATAACTACCATAATGTCAATATATAGATACATTTTTTACAGTGAAAACATATAGTTACACACAGATTTTATATATAGAGAGCAAGGAAAATCCTGGAATTTGAGAAAAGTGGGCTATTTCAGCAATTTTTAGTCAATATCAAAATTAAGATTGGTCTTTCTATGTAATATTCAAATTAAATTGGAACATGGAGCCCTGGGTCAATTTTTTGAGGGGCAATGGCCCCATGCATGGCCCCCTCCAGTACATACGTATTACCCCTGAGACAGAGTTATTAACTATACACTAGATTCCATTCTTTTATAATGAATCGAAATTTCAAGCGAATTTTATGCAGTTTTATCAACCATGTAGTAAAAATCATCAGAATATATGACTTTCAATACATTTTTTATATTGAAAACATATATTTACACACAGATTTTAATGATGAACCAATTATATCGATAATGGAATTTGTAATAAATAATCGGAATTGGAAATCAAAGGGCAGACTGATCAATTTTCGATTAGAATCGATCATCAGCCTATCCCTGAATCGGAATGCATTTAATAGTACTTAGATGTTGATATGTACTGCATATGCACTGAATCTAAAGTGCCATGAATGATCCTTTTACATTATACATGTATTTAATTACAGGCAACCGATACTTTTAGTTTAGATTGTCAAATTTACAGATGTGAAAAACATGCTAAACTGAAATATTGATTGGTTCTTTGAATACTACACGAATTAATGTCCCCTTAAATATATTTATCCAAACGTTCATTTAAAAGATTAAAATAAACAATATGTTTAACGTGTGTTTTTAAGATTTCAACTGTCTGTACACCATCACTCATGATTTACCAGTGATCAAGACCTTGTATTATATATATCCTCCCAATTATCATTTGTATTGACAGTGATGTGTTCAGCTGATCTATCTATCATTTCGCATTGACGTAAGTGTTGAGAGCTCAATTTCGGGAAAGCTACAATTGTTTTGTCGTTTTTACAGGAATACCTCCAGTTCCCCCCCTCCTCCTTTGCTAAGTGGTCCTGTACACATGTGTCCATGCTGTTATAGCTATTATATATCTACTCTGATCAGACACTGATTGTCCATGCCATTTAAAGGAAATGATGCTAGAAGATAACAGTTTAACAGGAAGTATTTACTTCAGTACACGCTGGATACTCGTAACTGATGTACATCAGGTTATGCTGCTGGGCACTATTGTGGTGGCCATGGTATAACAATCGTATTGAATGGGAATGTTATAAAAACAATATTGTGAATAAAGCTAAGATTGTTCTATGTTATAGAACTTTCTATTGTTCCCTATATCGGAGAAAATCCTAAAATTCTGGAGTATTACGTGGGCTATTTTCAGCAATTTTTAGTTAATATCAAAAGTAAGAGGGCCCCCCATTGAAAATGACACTGGAATTCCAGTGGAATTCCACTGAATTCCAGTGAGATTCCACTGGAATTAAATATTTCAGTGGAATACCACTGGAATTCCAGAGAAGTAAAAAAAGTTCCAGTGGAATTCCAGTGAAGCAAAATACACAAGCAGAATTCCAATGGAAAAAAATCACTGGAATTATATTTCCACTGGAATATTCCAATGGAACTATAACTCCTCTGACAATCCATGCAGAGGTGATGAGAACTGAAATACATTTTGCATGAAGTGGTAATGACTAGAAAAAATGGAACAATACATCAGTTTAACAATTTTTAATTAGATATATTACCCTTTACAAAGACAATTGTAGGCTATTAATGTACACGAGTTTACACAGAATATGACTATGTTAAGTCAGTTATGTTCAAGTGTATTTGGTGGAACACTTATGAATGCGAGATTTGGTGTTATTTGGACCAAGATGCACTTCTTTCCTAGTCTACTGCAATGAACTAATACAGTGTCTCCATAGTCAACTAGTTAAAAAACATGAATGCAGAGTGATTTTTCAGCATGCTCCTCTAACACGGGCATGGTAATGGCATTTTTCAAATCCTGACTCAGCTTAAAAGGGACAGTTTGACATTTTTGTATGACTGCATAATTCTGTTGATTGACTTGAACAAATGTCAAAATAACACCTATTCTGGTTTCATTTCCATCAGTGAAGCAGGCAACATAATCACGTCTAGTTTTTGCATGTTGGGAATCCTTTGAATGGAAGATTAAATTGCGATGGAATCTTAATCTCCCAAAAGTTTTTGCTTGATGATGTTTCATGGCATCGGTCAAATACTGGTAATGATGACTAGTTTCCTTCATAACTGTGCTCCTTCCCAAACTTTCCGTGTCATTTTCAAAAATAATTTCTTCTCTACAAAAGAAAATAATGTCAACAACTGAACCTTATATAAAGACAGCATTTATATTTATATTCTATCTTTGTTTTTGTCAAGAGTATGCTTTAAACCCTTGACTTTATGTCACAGTTTGGCACCAGAGGTTGCCCCCAATTTGATCAGGGTCCATGTTTTTATAGTTGTTAGTGATGCTACATACTTAACTACTGTCACATATAGTTACAATTATTCGCCATTCATCTGAAGATTGTTGTAAAAACATGAAAGTACTTGTGAATATATTATTAATATATGCATGATCCGGTTATGTTGGAACTTTTTATTGACCAATATATTTTTCTATACTCGAGACTTTTAACAATTCACTTTTTTTTTTTTTGTATAATATTTTGCACCATATCTGTAATAAAAGTTTAAAAAATATACAGTATCAAATAAAATCTTACTGAATAAATTTTGACCCAAGCTTTCGGAACAACTGCTGAGTGCTAGGGTCAACACCATCATCAGTAAACTTTTTTACAATACTTGTTAGCTGTTTTGACATCCCAACAGCAAAGCTTATCTAAAAAAATAAAAAAAATGCTTATCAAATATGTAGGAGGAGTCATATAAAATCCCTAAACACTTTTAGACAATATATACCTTATTTGAATTAGCATTTGTGAGGATTTTGGGAATAATTCATTATGGAGAATATGCACCGACCTCAGGTTCATTTTTAAAGGGAAAAGCATGAAAATTGAAAAAAGTCTTTGAATCTTGTCTAAAAGATACAATAATGTCTTCCCCCTTTCCATCTAAAGCGGACTGTCCCGTTTTTCTTTTGCTGTAATGAAGATCATGTGGTGATATATGCATGTCATGATGTGTTTTGTATGTTACATCAGGTGATTTATGGTTGTCTTCATGCCATTGCCCCATATCCATTCTTGTTCATGATTTTCAAATAATTGTAACTACTGTATTACATGCAGATTTAATCCCCATTCATTTGCAAATATACAACATCCATCAGTGCACAACATTCTTTTTGTAAGTCAGTGGCATAGGAGAGATTCTTTTGCTGGTAATTGTGTTGAAATGGAACAATAAGCTTGTTCATTTAACAAAATAGGGACACCTAGGAGTAGAGTATAAGCACATTTCGAATTGTGACGCACATACCATATATCATTGGAAACAGCATGCAGAAGTCTTGCAAGAGTTTTTCAGCATCATTAACTTGGTCAGCCTTCAACTCATCACTTGTCAATGTGACAATACCAGTAACTAGTAACAGGTAATGCACATAGGCAGCAGGGCTTAAGATCCCATGTAAAACAGGCACAGAAAAGTGCACCAACCATTCCCGACATTCAGACGCTGATTTTTTTTAGAGCTGTTCATTCCCCCCCCCCCGAAAAAAGTAAATTAATCAATAGACAATAGTACATCTAGATCATGATTGCTTCAATTTACCCTGATCTTCATTTTTAATATTTTATACAAAACTTAGTGTTGAATCGTTTTAGAATAGAGACAAGCAAAGCAACAGGCTACTTTTATTCCCTAAAGTCAAAAAGTAGTTTCGCAAAGTTCTGTGAAATAAAATCTGACTATTCATTCATTCATCAGTTTAAGTAACATGAACACTATAAATATCTGCTTAACACTACATGTATTACCTTTCCAGTGTTTGTGGTCTGTAAGAGTTCTTTGGCGACGAGACACAAAGTCTGGAATTTTTATGGCAAGAAATCGTTTATCCAACAGTGCCATCTACAAATATGTTATAAAAGTATTATAGATGCTTGAAAATATGAGTCTATGTCAATTCTTTGCTTTTATCCTTCGCTTGCATTTAGTCGATATGTGTCTTATGAGTATAAAATTTAGAGACAACTCCTATCATTTTATGTATAAATAGGTGATGTCTTCATACAAATTTCCCCATATGCGTTTTTTCTTCTTAAAACATTGCATCCAGTTCTCACTCTGACAGTATGAAAGCGATAATGCGAAATAGATATGTGACATGATTGTTAAAGAATCGAACTAATCCCTAAGCAAAACAGATAATCCAGTTAGTATTACTTTGTTAAAACAACACACCACATCAGTTTCTGCATACCTTGTTGCCTATATAGTAGTCTTTATCTTTATATTTGCTGTCAAACCAAAAAGTCATTAACATCTTCACAACACCCAGAAGTATTGCATGCATCCAATCAACAACAAATAGTTCAGGAAGTTTCACATAGGACAGCATCATTGGGGCACAGACACCTTTTATACCACGAACCTATATATGTTAAAAAAACACATCTGATGTCAATAATTTAACTTCTCAATAGTAGGATCAGTCATGTCATTTACCAATAGGAACAAAATTGCCTTCAATTTTTTCCCATTCCTAAGCGCCTCCCCATATATGCCAATGTGCAACTATAGTTCTGAATAGCCCTTTGGCCTGTACAATTTGAATTGTTTCAGGAGAGTAACATTTAGCAAATAGATTCCAAAAGGTCTTATTCCATCATGTTCATAAATAAAATATCAATAGCGCATATAATTACACTCACTGCAACTCCTTGTTCAGAAGCTGTTCTGGCATCTTGGATCCAAGATTGGTGTGATCTAATGTCAGATTGCTGGTTAAATGGAAAACATCTCACCATACGATTGCCTTGTCTATTTTCCCCTTTATCTGTACACATAGTACAACTGAAGGCTCCATTAAATTGCTTTACATTGGCTACCAATGCTTTAGCAGGAAGGTCTACTGATGCTATTAGCAGATAGCCTTTTACATGCATGGTACCAATTGTTGTCTGTACCACTAATCCTAAAAAAACATAAGTCACATTGTCTACAGGTGCATGTTTTAGTTATAAAGTCATGAAAGTATGTAGAAGTTGTTCATTTCAAAATTGTCGAGCCAAGTTACTTTTTTAACATACTGTTATATGATACATTAAGTATTATGTCAAATCTTAAAAATATCGTAAGTCTTAGTTTGTAATTAGTATTCAGTCTTCAAAATTAGCACAGGCCCGGCAGGCCTGTGAAAATCAATTTTGTGCTGAAGTTTAAAAAAAATGTTAAGTATATCATTAATATTGGACCCTGTATAAAATTCTGAATCTGTATTTTTTAACTGGTCTTTAATTTTGTCATTCAAAAATGTTACCTTTTTCTTGCATCAAATGTAAAGTTTTCATCAGTGGTGTTAAGTATGTCAGCATGTTTGGTTTCTCCACTTGGCAGTGCAAATAACAGGGAATAAGGTATTTCCTGGAGAACCTGAATATAGCATATGGCAACAAGAAAGAACATCAAAATTAGGAATGTAATCATCACCCATAAAATACATGTAGGGTGTCGATATTATCACAAATAAATAATCACAGTTACAGTATATAAATATGACATTCATTAGCAGGTGACAATGAATATTGTCAACCCGAGAAAACCATTGTCACCCGAGGCGTCGCGCATGTGATATTTTTCACTGTCTCATGGCAATATCATCCGCGCCCCTTAAAATCAATGTATTTTCGGAAGGTGACAGAGATTTTTGTTAAATTTTCTCCCAACCAATCAAATATCTAGAAATTCACTTGAGGTGTAACAATATAAATTATGTCAGAGATTTATACACATCAAGGTTTAATTATACATGTAAGGCAAAAAAAAATATAGTCTGTTTAGGGTTGCATTGGCAAAAAAACTAGGGTAGTGGTTGTTTTTTTTGTTTGTTTTTTTTTATATATTTTTGTTCATGTCATTATGACCCTACTATTGTTTGAAAAACAAAGAATTACATTAACAAGGTTCATTTGGAGGCAAATTGTTCTCCATATGATGACATTTAGCGCCAACACGGAGCTGGAAGCCATTTTGACATTCAGGCAAGGAACCTTCTAAAATTCGAAATTAGCAGGTTCGAAAAAAACAACAAAAAAACACCAGTAATTTTATGTGAAATAGATTGTACAGTATATATTTCGAGCCCGGATCCAAGATTTGATGTAAGGGTGGGTGGGGTGGGAGGAATGGACTAAAATAGGCTTAAAAAGAAAAAAAATGTTGAGGGTGGAGGGGTTCTCCACACCCTGGATCAGCGACTGTTTTTTTTGTATATAAATTGTGACTTCACATTAGAACAACTGCAACAATTTAAATTCTGAAAGGTTTTATAACTATCTTCATCTTACCGAAGTTTGACGGGGAGCTCATTTATCGCAATATACACTGGCCACAAACTTCCTTTCTTAGAAGATGTAAAAAGTGCAACTCCATCTGAAAATTAATATAAAAGAAATCTTTCAATTAATTAACATGTAATTTTGGGAAGAAATATTTAATTTGCTGTTTGCTAGCAAATGTATACATAGTGTTGTGGGACAAGGTAAATACTAATACGTACATTATAAATCATGCTCCGTTGTAGTTCATGTGGTTAGCTCTCAATTTCTTTTTGTTTTGCATTCAGTTAGCTGGTGATGTCTTCATGCCATTGACCCATATCCATTCTTTTTCATATCATATATGAAGAATGTTTTTATTTGCCATGAAAGAAGTGGTATTAAGCATATCTTATATTGTGATGCCATATGTTTTGTCAACGCTGCTGCATGCAACAAAGCACCGTTTTTTATCAGACAGTCTGTACAGGACGGTTCAATTCATACAGATTTTAATAAAAGTTAAATAAAGAAATGGAATTTGGGAGTGGCGGAAAGGAATCTACAAGTAAGGGAGCTATATATATATCATCAATTTGGAATGAGACATCAAATACTATACCTGTGTTCATTGTGAATGTAATATTTATGTCTGCTGTACTGATCTGACGAGCTCCAATAACTTCTTTGTATCTGCTTCCTGCTGTTACAACATTCAGATTTTGTTGTTGGTCTACATCTTTCTCTTTGGTCACTAATTTCAAAAAGTTGTCATCTAAAATAGACAAAAAATATATTTATGTACATAATACATAGTCTTGTCCCCAACTTATTACATGCTATGCTACATTGTGTTTTTAATGGCTGCTTGCTGAGATGAAAAAATACAAGAAAGGAACATGTATGTTGCCTGGTAAGCTGATATAAGTTACATGTATATAGTTTATCTGATATAAATTCAGACCAGATGGCGTAATTCAAATGGGGTTTCAACCTGGCACGCCCTCTAAACAAACTTGTTTTGCTTATTTTTNCCGCCCCATTTTCAACATCAAATCTTGGATCCACACACATGAATGACTAGAGATTAAAGTTGTAAATATCAAAAGTTTTATGAAAAAGTTGAATATATATGTGAACTGTACCTTTGAACATCTGTTTTAGCTGCTCAATGAAATTCAAATCACAGAATTCCAAAGTTCTGCTTTCTTCTCTTTGGCACAGGTCATTTTTACATGGGTTCCCATCTTCCAATAAACCTTGACATCTTTCACAGAAGTAATGTGTTGAATGCTCTTGAAAGTTGATGCCAGTTTTCAAGAGGTCCTTTACTTTGTAAACAGAGGTGGTAAACGATGTTGATGGTGGTAACAGGTCTGCTATTATTTCAAGCAATTCTGTAAAGCCCTCTCGACACAACCCACGCTTAGTTACAAAGAGCATAACCATGGAATATGCACTAAATTTGGTATGTTTGCATCCTTCATACAATGGTGGATTAGTATTCTCCTGTTCAGCTTCCCATGTATTCTCTTGTTGGCCTGTTGAGAGAGATTCGTTATCCGACTCGAGCTCTGAATCACTGGAAGAAGAAGAACTTGAAAGATATGAGAGATCTTCTTGAGCTTCATCTGTATCAGTGGTATCAGAAAAGGAGTTGATTCTTTCATCGTGAATTAAATTTGCATCGTTTTCCGTTCCTTCATCAAGAACTAAGCTTGCGCTGTTTTCCGTTTGTTTGCCGTCAGCATCGGCAACGAATTTCCAATTTTCATAACTGATATTTGATGATCCGCGTTTTTCGGGAGCCACTTTGTGGTATCTAGCTCTTTTAGTTGAAATGCCATGAAAAATGGCACTTTTGTATGTTCGTTTTTTCACCGGGGTGAGCAGCAGATGTCCGCGGTCATCCGTTGAACTGTCCGAGTCGGTTGACGTTGAACTACAACTTTCCATTGTTTCTGCTTTACTTACATATACTTGCACGATGTCATATCTTCACTAAGATTTAAAAAATCCTAATGAAATCACAAGATCGGCATCACATCATCTCGTACTTGTGAATGAATGTTCTGTGTCGGAGTCCGGTTTGAATAATATGCAGATTATATGACGAAACGAATCATTCTTATGATCTGCATTAGCGCAGAAATATTTTAAGTTGATGTAGGCCTATATTCCGTATATTTTTTTTATTAATGTTTAAATAATTAAGTGTCTTGTTAAGTTTACAAAATTAATTGCAAAGTGACTACATTTGACGAGCGAATAGACAAACAATTACCCAATTCGTTTTTTTTTCATTTTCAACAAAACAGAACTTGAGAACGAGGCGCGCGCGTTATCATATTACAAAAGCGCCGTTTTTTAAGCTAGAAGAAAATTAATATGTCGGGAATTGGACTTTTTGGGGTAATCGACTGGGATGATGGATTCTCCAATGATGTGCCCATGTCAGCAATTCAAGTACCGAGAAAAGAACCGATGGATTACCATTTGGGGGAACGAGTGGAGGCTCGGCTGGCCGGTTTCTCCGGATTGCATAAAGGGAAAATTGCTGCCATAGATGGTAAGCGATTCTTTCAAATTTTCAATTAGCCTAGATAAAATGTTCCAGACTTCCAGTATAATATTTTTTGTCAAGGATTTTAAAGACATACATATCATTTTTATAAATTATGAAACACAATGACCTAGAACACTTACATCAACGATTTAGCGATTTCAAATATGCCCGCTCCGCTACGACGTGAAAACAAGATGGCGGCGATCACGGATAGTGATGCACTGCATTGAAACACAGGGGCACGTTACAAATGTCTGAAATACCCACATATGCTATACTGATATGGGTCACAACATTATGTGTGTTGTGACCCAAATCAGTATAGCATATGTGTGTATTTCAGACATTTGTAACGTGCCCCTGTGATTGAAACTATAAAACTTCACATAAAATCAGGAATATGGTTAAATGACTAATTGATGGCATGTAATTTAAGAATAATGTCTCATTTAACCATCTGTTCTGCTCCCGGACGATGATTCACACAACTTCACAAGTTTTGCTTTAATTAGTATCTCAATCCAGGGCGTTCGGATGTAAACAAACAACAGCTGATCGAACGACACGCTCTCAGGACAAGCACACTCGACATTACACATTCATTACAATACCTTAAATGTATGTGTTAGTTAATTTAAACGGGTGGTTTCCATACAAAAATAGAGAGAAAATGTTTCTTACATAAATGTGCGTCGGTTTTCACACAGCTAACCCTATTGACACTATGAACGGCCGCCATCTTGGACTGAAGCGCGGCTGCTGTCATTGACACAAGGCTCGAAAAAAATACATTTTCGTATGTTTCCCGGGATTGTCAAGTGTGTTATTATATACCAAACAATTCATAAATGTATAAATTTGCAGATGGTATAGTGAGGGCAAATGACTCGGCTGAAATCAAGTAAATAATCGTATTTGATTTTTTTGAAAATTCCCCATTTCTGACTAGGCCTAGTGACTACAAAATTCTGACTATCCTCGTATCACGGTAATATAACCCAACCATGCCTATAATCGTACACTGCTGACTATAACCCAACAATGCTGACTGTTTACTGAAATTCACTTTAGATTACCATGGTTGGGTTATACTCAGCATTGTCGTTTTAAAGTCAGCACGGTCGGATTAAAGTCAGCATTTTTTTTTAAAGTCAGCATGGTCCGATAAAAGTAAGCACGGTCAGATTAAAGTCAGCATAAAGGGCACAGTTTTGTTTTGACATATTAATGGAATTTTTAAAACGTATTTGAACGGCACTGTTCGAGTATGTAACAAACAGGTATTTCAAAACAGAAAAAAAAGTAAATTACAAACACGTCACAGTTTCAATGTTTAATTTGACATATTAATCGAGTATGTACATGTAATTTCAAAACACCAGGCCAAAGTAAATTACAAACACGGCACAGTTTTCTAGTTTTAATTTGACATCTAAATTGAGTGTTTATATAAACACATATTTCAGATCATCAGGCCGAATAAAAGTACAAACACGACACATTTATTTAGATAAATTTTTATTACAAATCGAGTAATAAGCAAACACATTTCAACAGGCAGACGAAGTAAGTTACAAACACGGCTTATTACGTAAGCACAACAGGTAAAGAATGTCCATGTACGGAAGAATTTCAGTAGCCATTTCAGTGTGAAACTGATGTCTAAAGGTTAAGAAATGCCGCGACAAGAGCTGACGCTTGCAGCCTACAGGAGGTGTGAAACCGCCTGCTGCTGTCTAGCACTGGTGTGGAGCTCGCGCGCGGATCAATGAACACAGGTAAAATCTTAATGCTGACTTTAATCCGATTATGCTGACTTTTATCGGACCGTGCTGACTTTTAAATAAAAATGCTGACTTTAATCCGACCGTGCTGACCTTAAAACGACAATGCTGAGTATAACCTAACCATGGTAATTTAAAGTGAACTTAAGTAAAAAGTCAGCATGGTTGGGTTATACTACCGTGATACAAGGATAGTCAGAATTTTGTAGTCACTAGTGCTATAGTTAAACGACGAGGATTCCGAATGAAAAAATCGAATTTAAAAAGCACCTTTTTTATTGGTGCAGATTTAACTAATATTATTTATAAACCCAAACTATCTTTATTTAGCTGATAGAAAGTACTTAAAGGAAAAGTTGTCTGGCCCTAGACCAATTCCCCCCAAAAAGAAGGAATCTAATCTGCAGAAAACAGACGAGGGAGGCAATCCACAACATGTGGAAAAGAAAAGAAAATGCAAAACAACTGGAAATTATTGAAGACACAAGGTAAATAATTATTTTTCAAAGATTCAGTTCAGGAGGATTGTGCAGTGCAGATCTAGAGCTGCCTGTAGTGTGGTGTTTTGATTCAGTTTTCATAACATTGTCCCATATATATATCTGTTCTTTCTCATATTATTTTCCAGTGGGTACCCTCATTTGACTGCTCCTCCTTACCCCTTCATAACAATTTCATGAAACATCCTCAGAATGTGAAAAATATTATGCCATTGTGTACTTCCTATTTTTTTTATCCAATTTATTTTGGGGAATTCTCCCGAAGCAAATCATTAAACGGGGTGCATCTTTGTTGTAGCTTCAATTTTCAATTGCCTTATTTTGTTAAAACATAGATTTTTATTACGTATTCAATTATAATTACTTAACTACTTGTTTATACCAGGTATTCTGATATTGATGACACAGACTCTTAGGCCCAGCAGGAAAATGAAATAGATGAAACATCTGTCAAGAGACCTCAACAGAAGGTATTTGATATAGTTCTGAGCAAGAAAAGATATACAGGACATGTCCTGCTCCTGACCGACCATAATGATTGCAAAGGGGTACTTACTTCCAGTAATAAAATGGAACATATCCAAAAAGAAATGTTAATCCTTATTGACCAATCAATATTCATGAAATGTTGCTGTATTTCCCAGACTAAGAGAAAGTAACACATGTAGTTTATGAAAATCTCTTTACTAATTGAATAGTTTCCTAATCTTTATGACTTGTCCTCATGTTTGACCTTTTCATTCTTAGTGATTTCTATAAATAGTGTAAAAATGAGTTATACATAAATGAATAATTTGTTACAGAAAATTGAAAAGAAAAAAAGGAAACTAGAGAAGGAGGAGACCCAGATTTCAGAAGAGGTATGTATATGCTTTTACCATTATCAGTATGTTTATTATTGCTTTAATATTTAAACAAGACAGAATGTTCAGAGGCAGATTTAGGTGACAGTGTATAAAAAGGACATGTAGGGAACCAACATTCTCAGACTAAAATGGCCACCCTATTGTCCCCCGCCACGAAGTGCCGGAGGGACATGGTAATGGTAGCCGTCCGTCCATCTGAAAGGTCTTGTGGACGCAACTCCTCGGAAACCGCTTGACCGATTGCTTTGATATTTGGTAGGATGTATTTCTATGATATGTAGATGTGCATTCTACACCGCCGTTATGATTCTTTAAATTTTGTAGGAGTTATGGGATTGAGACCATTTTCATCATTTATCCAAACGGCGGGGGACATACAGCTATGTGTAGCAATCTTGTTTCCTTTTATACTCAATTTCCTAAAAACCTGGATCTGCCCCTGGTGTTTTTTTATACATTAATAATATAAATATGCAAAAATAATTTCTCAAAGTTAATATAGAACTGCATGTTGAGAAAATATTCTTGAAATACTGAAAAAAATGTACTAGAAATAATTATAGTAATTTTTTTTTAGGCAAAGCAACTGAAAAAAGAAATAAACAAAAAGAAAGCCGAGAAAATTAAAGAGAGAGAAAAGGTCACTCAGGCTGTGGCAAATGATATACTACCAGTTCAAGAGAACAGCTGCCAAGACTGCAGGGAGATTAAAGAAGACGTAAAAATAATAGAGGAGAATGTGAGTTTACTTAATACTTGAAAACAATTAAATAGTATAAACTGAAGTACATCCTAAAAATGGCACTTCTCGCTTAAACAAGCTTTTTACCTTGACATGCTTGAGAGCTTTTCAAACACGTGTAAGGTAGTAACTACATGTACTTCATATTTCTAAGTTTCACCATACGGACCAAATATACCTCTTGAACATTCATAGCAGATCACAACACAAACTCTTAAAGGAAACAAACCTTTTCTTTGGCCCATATATACACTGCTCTGCAGTGACCTGCCTGTCCATATACATATTTTGCCATATGACCGTCAGTATCAATATTTACATCTAGTATTTTGTACAACTATAGCTATTTTTTGGTATACATGTAAATTGTGGGGGTTTTTTTCAGGTGAAAAACATATTTGACATGCTGCAGCATTTAGTTGACTGCAGACCTTGTTTGAAGAAAAGCTACAAGGTAATTAAAATACAGCAAACACCAAGCACTGCATGAAATAGTTGGGCATGACGATTCATATTGTCAAAAGGGGAGATAATACAAACATAAAATTTATATATTTCTGTATTTTTGAGTAAGCCCAGGATTCCAGCTGTGATGTTTAAAAGAAACATGTGTAAAATTATCTCACTTTGGGGACAATTATTGGGCCTATAAAGTATACTTTAGTTTTTTAAAATCTTGATAAATTGTTTTCAATGGGAGGTAATTCAACACACTTTTCATCAGAAAGCCAATGATTTGTAAATGCGCAACAAAAGGAAATTCTTACAATATAAATCATATAACGCATATTCTAAAACCAAAGTTGTGTAAATCACACGAGTCAAATGAACATGTTGTAGTAGGTCAAGGTTAAAAATTTAAAACTGAACACATAAAGGGACTAGATCAAAAGTTCAAAGTCAGATAAAAAAAAAATAGTTTTCAAAGGCAAATTAACACGCACNCCCCCCCCCCCCCCCCCCCCCTTTTTTTGTTTTGTTTTGTTTATGTTTATGTTAATTAAAAAACAATATCTGGCATGATACATATTTCCATAAGCAGAAAATTGATGCAGGATAACAAAACTTTTGACATTTTTTACCCCCCCCCCCCCCATGATCTTTTGGTGTTGTCATGGTTGTCCCTAACTAAGTGGAATTAATAGACAATAGACAGCCGTATTAACATATTTTTCTTTTGAATACAGAAAATATCGGGGAAGACCAAACAGGATCAAAGTGCAAGTCTGGAATCGGCACTAGTCAGCCCATCATTATATATTGACATGCCCTCTGCACTAAATGCAACACCAGCAACACTGAGAGCCTCCACATCTTCTTGTGCTAGTCCGGTTGTGTTGAGCAACTTGCCGGATGCTCAACTGCTACTCAGCACACCAAGAGCCGCAACGTCCTCTCTGGCCAGTCCAGTTGTTTCAGAAAACTTGCTTGATGCTCAACCGCTACTCATCAGTACCCAAAGAGCTGCCTCTACATCTTCTTGTGCTAATCCAGTTGTGTTTAGCAACAGGCAAGATGCATTACCTCTACTCAGCACACCAAGATCATCAAAGTCTGCTGGTGCCAGTCCTGTGTTGAGCAACAGACCATGCATACCGGATGCGTTACTTGGCACGCCAAGAGCTGCAACATCTCCAAGCTGCCCAAATGTAGCTCTATCTATAGGCCTTCTTAGCCCATCAGGGCTCAAATATGGTAATTTTAAAATCACAATACATTGTATTAAATCTTACTGGTTTGGAAAAGAATTGGAGGATATCAATCCAAATCCTGGATTTTATCAAATTAGCAGTGAAAGAAATTTAAGTGGATACATTGATCATGAGAGATTCTGCACTAATTTTAAAATTTAAAGATCAGAGGAATTTGCCACATATATGTCTTTAAATGTTTGAGAGACTTGATAGTTATCTTCATAAAGTTTATTTGTACATATATATTGTACCTATAATATGAACGTAGGCATACTTAGTCAGAACCATATATGTACTTAATGCTCACTGAATGAAGTAGAGGATGAGATTCATTTTTTGTTCTCCTGTAGCAAACATTCGCAGGACAGAAACAACTTATTTTTGTTTTTAGTATATTATTCTAATTATAAGAACATTGTTGACGAGGTTTATATTAAAAATATATGACATCAGAAATAAAGTGTTTTATGGCTTTTATTATTATATCATTGTTTCTTTCTTTTATAGGAGCAGATAATGACTGCTGTGGTGAGACTGATGGTGATACAGGTGAGCTGTTTACAACTAGCTATAATATGTATCTGATATAAATACAGTTTATTAAAAATCAAATATGTTTTGTAATACAATATAAAAGGTTATTAGGGACCTGCCATGAATATTTCGCTCTATATAAGAAATCAGTCTGTCCGTCTGTAATGTGTCTGTCAGTGTTTTGATTGTCATAATATAACTCATTATTGCTTCGTCCAATTGAAATAAAACTAACCCACAACATTTAGCATCACTGGGAGAAGTTCCCTTTTGATTTTGAAGCATTTTTCTTTTTTTTTTGTTTCACCGTTATTGGACTTATGACTATATGACGTCATTTTTCTAGTTCCACCTATATTAGAAAATATTGTCCCTTGCAGCCTATATCATACTACATTTTACAAAATGTTCTACTATAATATTCAAACTTATATATTATTCTATTTCATTGTAGGTCTTTCCTTTCTTGGCAATGCCAAATATGGTGTTAAAATTTCTAGCTCGGTGTTGGCTAGAATTTGCAAACTGAGCAAAACACCTGAGAAATTGGCATTGAATCTGATACCTGTCATCCTGACAAAAGAGGAGATAGAAAGTGTTACTGTTTATGGCAATAGGCAGTTCTATAAAGAGCCTATGGACAACAGGAAGCGGGAAGCCATAAAAAGTAGGTGAAATTGAACTAAAAGTTACAATGAATAAATCAGATCTAGGTCAGTTAAAAAATGGAGGTGTTTCCAGGAATAAACTAGAATGGGTGGGAATTACACGTTTTTGTTCACTGCAATAACATCTAAAATTTTAATTTGTTGACAACTTTTATTTAAATTTGGGAACAATGAAAATTTGAAACAGGGAAAAAGTAACCCGATTGACAGTACATATTTTGAAACAAGAAATGAAGGTCAATTAAGTTGTCAAGGTTTGAAAAATTTCATAATATTTCTATTTGGTAGATATTGTCCTTAATAGATCTGGAAATGTATTGATTATCACCGTGCCATACCTTTAGAACTGTTCAAGGTTTTGATTTGGTGGTGGTTGTATGGGTTGTATGTGCACTAAATTTGTTTACAGTTGAATTATTTACAATGCAAATAGACATATGCCTAGCATTACTTTTATTATGTGTTATATTTAAAGGTTGTATCTTCGAAGTTTTCCCACGAAATGACATGGAAAAAAAAGAAGGATGGGAGAAGATTGTCACCATCATAAATGACAAGATTCGTGGCTTGAAGAAGGGCAAATACAAGAGTGCCTTCGAACAATTGTTAATTTGAACATGTTTGTTGACCCTGCATCCGTCGTCTGTCCGTCGTCTGTCCGTCGTCCGTCCTTAAACAATTCTTGTTATCGGTATTTCTCAAGAAGTACCAGAGGGATCTTTCTCAAATTGTATATGTAGGTTCCCCTTGGTCCTTAGCTGTGCAGGGCAACTTTTGAGACTGATCGGATAAACAACATGGCCGACAGGCAGCCATCTTGGATTTTGATAGTGAAAGTTTTGTATTGCTATTTCCCGGGAAGTACGGGAGGGATCTTTCTCAAATTTTATATGTAGGTTCGCTGTGCAGGGCAACTTTTGAGACTGATAGGATAAACAACAACAATAAACAACAATAGCGATGCCCAACAAAAATAGTTTGGGCAACTGTTGAAAAATTAATGAATAAAAGGAATTATAGTCCCTTCCACATTAACTGGGGGGCAGTACATTTTTCAGTTGTCACTATCGATTTGATTTGAATCGAACATTAAGTACTGTACTAGTAAATATGTGAAATGACGAACTCACTTTGAAGGTTGGCTTTCATACACATCAGTATTAAGTTTAGATCAAAAGTAACCTCAAGGTGCATTTACTGTTGACATGACTCAATCAAACAAATTAGAGGAAAGAAGAGAAAAGATTGAACTGACAAAGAACTAGTGAAGATGGTACAATGGTGGGCGCCAAGATCCCTCTGGGATCTCTTGTTTAGTTTTATGAGTGACCAGCTGTTCCATTTCTATTTTCATGGACTACTATTGCCATTTGGATCAGCATTTGTATATATATCCTGTTTATAAGATGTCTGGCATCTCATTGCACATCTGTTAATAATCTTGCCCGGTATCTTTTTAAAATTTCACATCTAATTCAAGCAATACATTGTCCATACTTTTGTTATATCTAAAGGATGTTCGTATATATGCATGTAAGTTTGCAATTTCTCATTTTAATTATATGTTACAAATCTATAAATATATAATGGCCCTTTTACATGTATCTACATTGTTGATTACTGCATGTGATCAGATTCAAAGTTAACAACTAGGTTCAACGACTAAATTTTGTGAAAACAAGTCAAGTAGGAATACACCTATTTCCCTTTATATTTCCCTAAAAGTTATGGTTTTCCAAAACCATAAGAATTATAAGTGTAGGGTTTTTTTCCCGTCCCTAGGCAAAGTTGTACTCTTGTCTGTAGGTCTGTACGGTTAACAGAAGTTTTCCTTAACCGGATGTTTTTAAACCTTATACAAAATGCTTATTTCTTAACACAAATCAAGTTGGAATTTGGATGGTGTCACTTCCACCATTCTCCAGTTATGTCCCTTTATTAATGGAAAAAATGTCAATTTTTGTTGTTTCCTCTCTCTTGATGACATTGTTTACTTTGACCAAATATTAATGAAACTTTTACACAATGCTCATAATACCACCAAACACATATGAAGTTCTAATTTGTGTGGCGTCATTTTCACAATTCTAAAGTTATGCATGTCACTTTTATAAAATTGAAAAAAAATCCAAATTTGCCAATCCCATGGACACATAATTCTTTATTTTTTATGTTTTTGTATAAGACCCCCATAATTTTCTCTATTTTGGTCCATAAAAGAGATATGAGATCTAGATGGGACCTTACAATCATGAAAATATTTCCTATCAGCCATATACAATACAGATAAATTTCAAGGGTTTGGGAAACCTGTATTCTAGCAACTCGGGGAATAATGTTTTTTTTAACCGATTATTTTTTGTTTTATACGGAATGCAAATTTGCGTAAAGTCCACAACTGGCTTTTTGTTCACGATAATCACAGTTGTATTCGTGTTATTTTGTGTTTTATTTTTTGTCAGTTGTTGGCATAACTCAGATTATGGAAGGACATGACGGATCCTTTTAGGACAGAGTAAGACAGTGGTCCAACTGTCGCCACGCAGAAATCGGGCTTGCAGGGAAGTAATAGTTATTCCCGCTTTTGGATACAGGTTTCCAGGGACTATCCCCGGTTTTTCCTGGGCGTGCAGGTTGATTTCGATGTCCGGGGGTTTATATCAGGTTTTTTCGCAGTCATGCAGACTTGGAGATGTACATTTTTTGACGTACACATTGAGCATTATTTAGCCCGCATTATCATGGGTATATTTTAGTCGACAATCTCATCTTTTTGAAACGTTGTTGAAATGTATATATGTAGTGGTATATAACGTATATTGATTAAACACCCTACCCTACGTCCATTCGGCGAGCTAGTGGCAAATAGTACATTTGTGTTGGTGTGAATTTTTTAAGTAGCCGAGGGGAGCGAGTCCTGTTAATTCAGAATCTATTGAATGTCCATTATTGTTGTTTTTGTCATAATTAAGCGATTCCAATTTGAATTCCAGTGACCACAGGCATTTCACTGGATTCCACTGGGAAATAAGACCATTATTCCACTGGATTCAAGTGGAAATACCACTGGATTCCACTGGGCAATTTGGCCAGGATTCCACTGGAATTTCCAATGGAATTGATCTGGATTCCAGTGGAAATACCAGCGGAAATTCCACTGGGCAATTTGGCCGGAATTCCATAGAAATTCAGTGGAATTTCCATCGGAATTCCACTGGAATTTCCAATGGTATTCCACTGGAATGTCAGTGGAATTCCGGCCAAATTGCCCAGTGGAATTCAGTGGTATTTCCTCTGGTATTCCAATGGCCATTGTTTATTTTCAATGGAGGCGCGCAATTATATCGATAATGGAATTTGTAATAAATAATCGGAATTGGAAATCAAAGGGCAGACTGATCAATTTTCGATTAGAATCGATCATCAGCCTATCCCTGAATTGGAATGCATTTAATAGTACTTAGATGTTGATATGTACTGCATATGCACTGAATCGCAACCGATACTTTTAGTTTAGATTGTCAAATTTACAGATGTGAAAAACATGCTAAATTGAAATATTGATTGGTTCTTTGAATACTACACGAATTAATATCCCCTTAAATATATTTATCCAAACGTTCATTTAAAAGATTAAAATAAACAATATGTTTAACGTGTGTTTTAAAGATTTCAACTGTCTGTACACCATCACTCATGATTTACCAGTGATCAAGACCTTGTATTATATATATCCTCCCAATTATCATTTGTATTGACAGTGATGTGTTCAGCTGATCTATCTATCATTTCGCATTGACGTAAGTGTTGAGAGCTCAATTTCGGGAAAGCTACAATTGTTTTGTCGTTTTTACAGGAATACCTCCAGTTCCCCCCCTCCTCCTTTGCTAAGTGGTCCTGTACACATGTGTCCGTGCTGTTATAGCTATTATATATCTACTCTGATCAGACACTGATTGTCCATGCCATTTAAAGGAAATGATGCTAGAAGATAACAGTTTAACAGGAAGTATTTACTTCAGTACACGCTGGATACTCGTAACTGATGTACATCAGGTTATGCTGCTGGGCACTATTGTGGTGGCCATGGTATAACAATCGTATTGAATGGGAATGTTATAACAACAATATTGTGAATAAAGCTAAGATTGTTCTATGTTATAGAACTTTCTATTGTTCCCTATATCGGAGAAAATCCTAAAATTCTGGAGTATTACGTGGGCTATTTTCAGCAGTTTTTAGTTAATATCAAAAGTAAGAGGGGCCCTCCTATGTAAAAGTAAAAGAAAATTGAAACATGGAATGTCAATTTCAGTTTTGAGGGGTCAATGGCCACATGGCCCCCTCCAGGATTATGCCTGCTATATTCAAAATTTCTTCATATTTTATTTTAGCAAGGGACAATACCTCTGTGCTTGAGATATAGATCACCCTTAAAATGTTGGAATTCTGATAGATGCATGTTCTTAGAATTCTGAAATTTGAAAGTTGACAAAAACTCAATGACAAAGGAAATATATGCTTTCGAAAGCTCGCAAAATAAGTTTTTAATTCCTGTTTGTGTTCTAAACAAACTAAGCCTTTATTATTAATACCAAACTGATGAGTCGTATCCCTGATATTACATGTAAACTATTTGAGCACATTCGATTCAGACGGGTCAGTCAGCTTATGGTAAACATTGAATGTTTTATACTATGAAGTATCATAATCAAGGAACCAATATTTACGTAGGAGTTATCTATATGTATGCAATCTAGTTAAAATTAGACTTGTTATTCTGCTCTTCTACGAAACACTCCAATACATGAATTGTACATCGTATAAAGTGTATCGTAGAGGAGCAGGATTATTTGAGTGTATCGATCGTAGAGGAGCAGAGTTACAAGTCTAATTTCAATCAGATTGTATCTATATGTACTATATATTTGTAGCAGAAAATGAAATAAAGACCCAGCCTTGTTACTGATAGAGCTGTAGGTAATTGATCTGGTTATAATGTCTATCTGCGATAGCTATTTATAGGCTAATGCTGGATGTATTCAATCATATACTATAAAAAAATCTTATATTACAGATTTATCATGATACTATATCACCTGAATGACCCTGATATATATAGTTTTACATGTACAGTGTATAACACAACTCATTAATAGAAATGATGATCTTTGTATTTATTAAGTAACTAGTATAGTTGGGTAAAAACAAAAAAAACATGATAATGTTGCTTTAAAATTACAAAACATTGGGGTAAACCAGTATAGATTATTTTCGAAACACTCAGCCAGGGCAAACCCATAATAAATATTAGGTCTCAGAAAAATACCCAAATAATATTTCATTTTCAAGGGCACGCAGGTCAAAATTTTGTGGTTACAAACTTGTCCAAGCCTGAGAAACGGTTGTCACCTAAATCAGGAAGAGGATTTCAAAATGTATACCCCTCGGGGGTATTAACCTACCAACCAATATAGTTTTATAAGTACCATCCATGTAATTATATAAGACAAATGCCAATATATGAAATCACACTTTACAAATATACCCATGATTAGTAAACCTGTTTTTGGTCTTTCAGACATTTTGAGTGGGGGTTCACCCCTGGAGAATGACACTGGTGTGCACCTGAGGAGGAATTCACCAGACAAGATTAAGACAAATTGGAAATCAAGCAATCCTGCTACACTGAGTCCTCCCGTCCTTCCTAAAGGATCATTCCAACCCATCACCTCAAGTCCGGGGCAAGAACACCCGCCACTGTTACAGCCCCAGGTGACCAAGCCCAGTCTGGGGCAAGAACACCTGTCACTGTTACAGCCCCAGGTGACCAAGCCAAGTGCATTCGCAAACTACACATCTACAAAATCACCAGGAAGTTCTCCTACTCCATCAAAACGCCTCAAGCTAGGCAGACACAGTAGTACTGGTGGGGTCAGTGACAAGATTACGAAAAACAATTTCCAAATTGTGAACATGAAGTTAGGTAAATCTTTATCCTTTGAAGCTAATATTCCTAAACGTCGAGTTATAAGAAGACCAAGTGAAGTTGTGTTGGAAGGCTGGAACTCAAAATGTACAGATGTGCGGAACTTTTTCAAACCCATCCCATCGTCATCTTCTACAAGTGAAATGCCAACAAGGACACTAAAAGACTGGCAAAACTTAAAACCATTCAATGTTGAGTTCCCAGTCAACGAGGGTCTGGAGGATTCTCTCTCTTTGAAATTATCTAAGATGCATATAGATACTATAGGAGTGTGCTTTGAGGAAGAGGGACCATATTGCCTTCGCCACGCTATAAAATTTACACACGACTTTTCTCTCAAATATGCCCCAACGGGTGACATTATAAAACAAATGTTGTACAAGGGGATAATAGAGAACAATCAGGTGGATTTAATATATAGTTCATATCGAACCCTGAAGCTGATTCAGCAAAAATATCCAGGGATAATCCAGATCGACTGGGATACAATCAAGCTTGTGATGGATACCGTCAACTTAGGGCTCAGTTTCATACAGCAGGATGTAGTTGTCCTTCTCCGAGCCAGTCTGTTCCTCCAGCTTACAGTAACGTGCTATGAAGATGAGCTTTATAATCGTGATGTGGTCGACCCAAAGGGTTTGCGTCAGTCCATGGCGTACAGGAGTCTTACTTCAGACAGTTTGTCATACACGGGGGGCGTCAAACAACTCACCAACTGGATTGTCTGTTGTCTCACCTATGGAGAGTTTCAAGAAGTACAGGAGATTTCATCACCCTTTTTTCGTGAAAGAAACCCCGATAAACACCAACCTAACCCAAATCCTGAAGAAAACGTAATTCTACGACAAGAACTTCGTAAGTTACTACCACTGTTGCAGCGACTTCTTAAGATCGCCATCGAGATAAACCTGAGTAGTTCTGACTGTGCCAGGACTTGCGCCACTGAGCTAATGAAGAGCTTTGTTTACCTTAGTCTCAGTTACAAGAAGTTGCTGCTACAGACGATGCAGTCGAATCTGCTCCAGTTCAAACTGGTGTCACTGATGCTGGAAAATTACTGTGATTGTGATGCTTTCTCTTACTACGAGTTCCCGTCCAGTGTCAGGGACGTGGTGGAGAGCTTGTTCCAGGCCCAGCCCCCACGAATGATGAACACACCTCCCACGACCCCCCAGTCTGAGGAGGAAGCAGGGGATGGAGACGGGGAGCATGGGGGCAGATATGTACCAAAGGTTTCCTCCGTAGCAGTGGAAGAGCTTGCCATGCTACAGTATTATGCCTTGCAAAGTTATTTGCAGTGTTCTAAAGGTAATTGCGCAGCTGTGTTTCATAATCTGATATGCATTATATGCAATTATATGCATGTACATGTACATTTGTATACCATATTTGGTATAATGAAAGCACCTGTTGTACAAAGCACCTCCATCCAATTATCATCTGTTGTATGATTTTAGCTATGTTTTTATTTTATCCATTATTCAGCTAAGAGCCACATTCCACTGAGGGTCAGAGTGAAGTCAGCCGAGAAAGAGTTTGGCAGTCTGTCTGCTGAGAACCTGAAGGAGTTGGAGAAGTTGCCTGGTCACGTAGAGGAGCTACGGGGTCACTACCTACAGCTTGCCATCGACCTCACCCAGGACACAGAGAAATATCTGATGATGATGCTCTGTTTGAAGGATGTGACAGTCAAATGTTGAATAGTGTCGTAAGTCATTAACTTTACCAAGGGCACTGTGGAGAAATACAACACAATTCTTTGTCAAAATAATGCGAAAGTCAAACACTAGAGCGTTGTTGGCGTAACAGTCAAAGTAGCTTCATGTAACACCACTGTAGCAACTTACTGAATACCCAGACATTTTCACTACAGCTTAACATTCGTCTTTTTCGCTCTCCCCAATGAGAGCAAATATCATGACAGCGAATTTAAGTACACAACATGCAAAATATAGTAATTACATATATATATGAAGGGCAAGATTAACACTGTGTGAATATTGACTGGGCAAAAGTTTCCCAGTATAGTGAGTATAGAGTATATACCACCACTACCACTAGTACTGGTAAATGTATACTACACTACCACTAGTACTGGTACATGTATACCACCACTACCACAAGTACTGGTACATGGATACTACACTACCACTAGTACTGGTACATGTATACCACCACTACCACTAGTACCGGTACATGTATACCACCACTACCACTAGTACTGGTACATGTATACCACCACTACCACTAGTACTGGTACATGTATACCACCACTACCACTAGTACTGGTACATGTATACCACCACTACCACTAGTACTGGTACATGTATACCACCACTACCACTAGTACTGGTACATGTATACCACCACTACCACTAGTACTGGTACATGTATACCACCACTACCACTAGTACTGGTACATGTATACCACCACTACCACTAGTACTGGTACATGTATACCACCACTACCACTAGTACTGGTACATGTATACCACCACTACCACTAGTACTGGTACATGTATACCACCACTACCACTAGTACTGGTACATGTATACCACCACTACCACTAGTACTGGTACATGTATACCACCACTACCACTAGTACTGGTACATGTATACCACCACTACCACTAGTACTGGTACATGTATACCACCACTACCACTAGTACTGGTACATGTATACCACCACTACCACTAGTACTGGTACATGTATACCACCACTACCACTAGTACTGGTACATGTATACCACCACTACCACTAGTACTGGTACATGTATACCACCACTACCACTAGTACTGGTACATGTATACCACCACTACCACTAGTACTGGTACATGTATACCACCACTACCACTAGTACTGGTACATGTATACCACCACTACCACTAGTACTGGTACATGTATACCACCACTACCACTAGTACTGGTACATGTATACCACCACTACCACTAGTACTGGTACATGTATACCACCACTACCACTAGTACTGGTACATGTATACCACCACTACCACTAGTACTGGTACATGTATACCACCACTACCACTAGTACTGGTACATGTATACCACCACTACCACTAGTACTGGTACATGTATACCACCACTACCACTAGTACTGGTACATGTATACCAACACTACCACTAGTACTGGTACATGTATACCACCACTACCACTAGTACTGGTACATGTATACCACCACTACCACTAGTACTGGTACATGTATACCACCACTACCACTAGTACTGGTACATGTATACCACCACTACCACTAGTACTGGTACATGTATACCACCACTACCACTAGTACTGGTACATGTATACCACCACTACCACTAGTACTGGTACATGTATACCACCACTACCACTAGTACTGGTACATGTATACCACCACTACCACTAGTACTGGTACATGTATACCACCACTACCACTAGTACTGGTACATGTATACCACCACTACCACTAGTACTGGTACATGTATACCACCACTACCACTAGTACTGGTACATGTATACCACCACTACCACTAGTACTGGTACATGTATACCACCACTACCACTAGTACTGGTACATGTATACCACCACTACCACTAGTACTGGTACATGTATACCACCACTACCACTAGTACTGGTACATGTATACCACCACTACCACTAGTACTGGTACATGTATACCACCACTACCACTAGTACTGGTACATGTATACCACCACTACCACTAGTACTGGTACATGTATACCACCACTACCACTAGTACTGGTACATGTATACCACCACTAACACTAGTACTGGTACATGTATAACACCACTACCACTAGTACTGGTACATGTATAACACCACTACCACTAGTACTGGTACATGTATACCACCACTAACACTAGTACTGGTACATGTATACTACACTACCACTAGTACTGGTACATGTATACTACACTACCACTATTACTGGTACATGTATAACACCACTACCACTAGTACTGGTACATGTATACCACCTCTACCACTAGTACTGGTACATGTATACCATCACTAACACTAGTACTGGTACATGTATACTACACTACCACTAGTACTGGTACATGTATACTACACTACCACTATTACTGGTACATGTATAACACCACTACCACTAGTACTGGTACATGTATACCACCTCTACCACTAGTACTGGTACATGTATACCATCACTACCACTAGTACTGGTACATGTATACTACACTACCACTAGTACTGGTACATGTATACCACCACTACCACTAGTACTGGTACATGTATACCACCAATACAGGTTGATAATTACTGGTTAAGATGTAATACAGGTAGATAATTACAGGTTTAGATGTAATACAGGTTGATAATTACTGGTTTAGATGTAATACAGGTAGATAATTACTGGTTTAGATGTAATACAGGTTGGTAATTACTGGTTTAGATGTAATACAGGTTGATAATTACAGGTTTCGATGTAATACAGGTTGATAATTACTGGTTTAGATGTAATACAGTTTGATAATTACTGGTTTAGATGTAATATAGGTATGTACACATATTAACTGTGACTGTGGACTTTGGGTCACATACTGATCAATATATGGATTTAATTAACTATATTAATTATGTATACTAGTACAGCTAATGTACAGCTACAGCTACACTGACAGATTGACATGTACCTGTACATAGTGGAGTTCTGTGGGTAAAGCTGATCAGGGGAGGCCCGCAGGGTTTATGTATGCAGTGATCTATCTACAATTTATTTCCATGGGTCCTTTTCAACTGTATTGCTAAAACAATGGGTCCCACAATGTTCAATTTCAGTATTTCCAGAAATTCTAGGATTCCAATAAAAGTTCTATGAGTATAGTACTCGGGACTCGTATGTAGATTTATCACTGTATGGTTCTCCATTCCATGAGGCAGAAATTCTCTGACACTCTGTCTCATTTATTTTTATAGAATGATGAGAAACCATGTTGACACTAGATGATGCTGCAGTGTTAACTACAGTCACTAAATTTTACACAAACTTACATAATTTCCTGTAATATAAGTTATGGTTTTTATTAATTCAGGGTTTTTTTGTGTGTAAAAGTGAAAAAAATCACATTTCACTCTTCAAACCTTTCACAGTGTGGAAATGTCATTTTAGCAGTGTTAGTGCAGTGTACATTTCAAAGTGTGTCAGTGTGTTCACACTGGCTAAATAGTTGTGTTGATTTATCAAACCTGAAATCAGTATTAATATCTACAGTGTGAAGCCTACTGCTTCAATGATAAATGTATAGTGTTGTTGTCATATTGAAGACAGTGATGTGTGGTGTGCCAGTGTGCCGGTGTGCCAGTGTTGACTTTGTAATGTGTGGGTTGGTGAGGTTGTAATGTACTATTGTTGTCATGGTAACGAGACTAATTTGTGGCATACTGGTGTTGCCATGGTAGGGATTACTGAGGTAGACGTACAATGTAGATTGTGATTACACATTCTCTTTCCCTGGACAGGTGTATCCACACTTTAACTGGTGTGAGATATATATCCTTGTCTCACCCTCGGGTTGAGACGGGGGGATTCCCCTATTCATAACAATGGTATGACGTCACTTCAACAATACGATGATGTCACATCAACAATCCATCAACGTCACGTCAACCCTGAACTAAGCCTGTAACGTTATCATTACATTGTGTCTATGATACATATTGGTGAAAAGGGTAAGAGAAAAAGAATCATTCACCCCCTTGACGGTGAGATGGGGGAATCTCAATCCTCGGGGGAAGATTCTTGAGTTGCCAAACACTGGGCAAAGCCTCTTGTTTGGTAACTTAAGAAACCTCCCCCCCCCCGGGGGTTGAGATTCCCCTATCTCACCCTCAAGGTAGTGAGAGATTCTATTAGTCTGTACCGTGTAAAGGTTTAGCATCTCACCAGGAAGGTTTTTACAGAGATCCTTACACAATCTCACCAGGACAGTTGTTACAGAGATCCTTACACACATCTTTATCCTACTTTTGAATCAAAGGGCAGTCGCCATAATCCCATTCCATCTTGAAATTTTGTGAAGTCAAATGTACAGTAGTGTTTTTAACATTTTAATACATTAGTAGATATATTTTCTGATAAATTTATCATCTTGTTTAATTCATTACATTGAACATTGTATATAAAGACATCTTACCACTTCTAACAATTGAAATCCTCATCACAAACACAGTCAGGTGTTGTGTGGTGTACACTGGTATAGTCACACATTGTACAATCATTACCTAACCCTGTTAGCTGTGATTTTACCCTGCAGGTCACATAACATTAGTCCCACGTTGTGTGGTGTACACTGGTATAGTCACTTATTGTAAAATCATTACCTAACCCTGTTAGCTGTGACATTACCCTGCAGGTCACATAACATTAGTCCCACGTTGTGTGGTGTACACTTGTATAGTCACACATTGTACAATCATTAACTAACCCTGATAGCTGTGACTTTACCCTGCAGGTCACATAACATTAGTCCCACGTTGTGTGGTGTACACTGGTATAGTCACTTATTGTAAAATCATTACCTAACCCTGTTAGCTGTGACATTACCCTGCAGGTCACATAACATTAGTCCCACATTGCAGGTTTTCTATTTACCTGTTTTTACCCTTTACATTCACAACTATTGTATACATCATGTTGGACTAACAAGGTTTTAACAATGGGGGTTCGGGGAGGGGATAAATATAAAATTTCATAACAGAATAATTTGAGGTTCTTATATACCGCTTTATCACAACCTAGTTAGCAGGTCGTCTCAAAGCGGTTCACAAATTATTATCCATGGTTATAGGGCCTTTGCAACCAGCCAATATCTTTCTCAACTCCCTTTGGAGCATACCGTCGGACCTGCCATTTCGGCGCTAACAGCTAGCATTCTGCAATTCTAGCACTGCTCAACCACGTACTTATTTACAGCTGAGTAGACTGGAGCAAGCGGAGTAAAGCATCTTGCTCAAAGATACAACAACCTGCAACCCTTCGGTCACAAACCCGGCGTCCTACCACAAGACTACTCCAAACACTCCAGAAGTGCTGGAGTTCCCCATACTAAGCTCATATGTTCCTTATAAGCTATTTACAATCAAGTCCTGTACCCAGCAGCTGTTAATCACCTGTTCCGAGGGGTACGGGATAGGAAAAGGAAGTTTTGTACCTGATTACTTCTAATATTGTCACA